GGCCCCTCTGCTATATGCTGGTAGATCAGGGCTATAGCTGTATGGGCCCCTCTGCTATATGCTGGTAGATCAGGGCTATAGCTGTATGGGCCCCTCTGCTATATGCTGGTAGATCAGGGCTATAGCTGTATGGGCCCCTCTGCTATATGCTGGTAGATCAGGGCTATAGCTGTATGGGCCCCTCTGCTATATGCTGGTAGATCAGGGCTATAGCTGTATGGGCCCCTCTGCTATATGCTGGTAGATCAGGGCTATAGCTGTATGGGCCCCTCTGCTATATGCTGGTAGATCAGGGCTATAGCTGTATGGGCCCCTCTGCTATATGCTGGTAGATCAGGGCTATAGCTGTATGGGCCCCTCTGCTATATGCTGGTAGATCAGGGCTATAGCTGTATGGGCCCCTCTGCTATATGCTGGTAGATCAGGGCTATGTATGGGCCCCTCTGCTATATGCTGGTAGATCAGGGCTATAGCTGTATGGGCCTCTGCTATATGCTGGTAGATCAGGGCTATAGCTGTATGGGCCCCTCTGCTATATGCTGGTAGATCAGGGCTATAGCTGTATGGGCCCCTCTGCTATATGCTGGTAGATCAGGGCTATAGCTGTATGGGCCCCTCTGCTATATGCTGGTAGATCAGGGCTATAGCTGTATGGGCCCCTCTGCTATATGCTGGTAGATCAGGGCTATAGCTGTATGGGCCCCTCTGCTATATGCTGGTAGATCAGGGCTATAGCTGTATGGGCCCCTCTGCTATATGCTGGTAGATCAGGGCTATAGCTGTATGGGCCCCTCTGCTATATGCTGGTAGATCAGGGCTATAGCTGTATGGGCCCCTCTGCTATATGCTGGTAGATCAGGGCTATAGCTGTATGGGCCCCTCTGCTATATGCTGGTAGATCAGGGCTATAGCTGTATGGGCCCCTCTGCTATATGCTGGTAGATCAGGGCTATAGCTGTATGGGCCCCTCTGCTATATGCTGGTAGATCAGGGCTATAGCTGTATGGGCCCCTCTGCTATATGCTGGTAGATCAGGGCTATAGCTGTATGGGCCCCTGCTATATGCTGGTAGATCAGGGCTATAGCTGTATGGGCCCCCCTGCTATATGCTGGTAGATCAGGGCTATAGCTGTATGGGCCCCTCTGCTATAAGCTGGTAGATCAGGGCTATAGCTGTATGGGCCCCTCTAGGGTGTTTAAACCCATGCTGCCTGGTGTTATACTTCCCTTCCTCTTCCATGTACTTCACAAGTCTCTGATAATTTTTTCGAATATTTTACCTGGTACAACGAGGAGGAAATTG